GTTTTGGAAGAATGCAAGCTACTGTTACCAAGCACTGTTTTGTACATTATACAGTCTTTAATGATTTGCCTTGAACAGGCATAGTACTGTAGCGTGGTGTCGAGTCGAAATTGACTATGAACGCCACTACAAGGAAATGCGTACCAAACAAATCAGAAGGCGAAGGTTGAACCTAACCAGATTTATTTCGTCGGCGACCTCGTGGTATTGAACGAATACCAAGATCGTGCCAAGAAATGGTACAAGCGAAAGCAGGAGAATGGAGTATGTGCGAACAAAGCCAAAAACCGCGGAACAATGATAGAAGGTAATGGAAGCGCGAAATGGCTGCAATTAACATAGTTGAACAAAAGCACGTTAAAACAAGCACTGATACAGTTGGTTATAATAATAATTGTTTTCATTAAACCAACTGTGTTCTCGTGATAAAAGTTAATCACTACAGGAAGGGTTTATCCTTTCGATAAATAGCGGTTTAAATCGTGGGACTGATCGGCTGACGGACGATTGTAGGACAGAAGAATTGGCGAAACAGGAAAGCGTTCGTTGATCGTCGAGTTGCCAACAACATTCTTTTTTCGGAGAACGATACCAGGGGCGATGTGCTGTATTTGTTGCTTGAGTTGGCATACTACACGAAAGTGGTTTGTATCCAGAATCTGAAGATTGCGTTCATAGAGATGAGGACCAGAAAACGCCTCAGACGTAGGACGAGACTACGTTGAGCCGAGGAACCAAAAGCGACTGTAACGACCAAGTTCGAGACCAAACGTATACCAAACATTGGAAACCAAAATATCGACTGAGTGCGCTGACAAGAGCGTGGGTGATGTGGCCAGCTTTTGACAAAGTTGACTGAAGTCGACGATACCAAGCAGGGATGGTCTGTGGCGTAGGCTCATGATGCCAAAAAAAGTCGAAAAAGGAAGAGTGTAGGATGCATGCAGTATGAGAATAGTCCTACACCTTATCGGTTGTTGACTGTGTAGCTAGTCGCGGAAGCGTACGGGTAACCGTACTCGGCGACCGGAATGTAAGGCGGTAGTCTCGCTCGTATTTTGCGAGCCTGCGATCTCATCCGAAGTCAAGGGCGGTATGGTCTGCTGATCTGGTCGTGAGACTGTCGTTTCTTCCGTTGATGGTGGAGATGACGCGTGCTGTTGACCGGGACGTGAGAATGAGGTCTCAGATGTACCTAGCGTGAGACCTGAAGATGGCTTGAGGATCCCGCTAGTAGGTTTGATAGGTCTAGCACTGAATATCAGGTTATCAGATAGGGCACTATCATCGATGTGTGCTGGTTTGAGACTATCAACGCTAACGATCTCGACGCGGCCATGTCGATCAACCTTGAAGGTCTTTTTGTGACGAGCGATCACGTGAAACAGGCCTTCGTTAGGCTGTTGCCAAGGTTTGCGTACCGAATCCACTCATATGAAAACACGCGTACAGGTAGATAACTTTCAAGGGAGAGCGACCTGTCGATGTTGTATTCGAGTTGACCCCGGAGACAGCGTTCGCATAAATGCAGACAGTCGTTGGACGTAGTCTGATTTACCGAAATCGGGTCTGCTCCGTGGTGTGAAGAATTCCCCGGGCAGATGCAATGTCGTGCCGTATACCAGTCCAGCGGCGGAACATTGGATATCTGTGTTCAAGCTCGTTCTGATGCCTAAGAGGACGAGCGGTAAGGTTTCGTACCAGTTGTTGTTTTCGTGTGCACTTTTATGTTGGCGGTGAAACCTGGTACCAGGCAGCCGGGTCAGCGAGGAGAATAGTTAGTAGGGGAAATTTTCTCGAGTAAGGCGTGGAATTTACCGTCACGCCAATAAAAAGTGCCAAGGATTCGGTGCACGTGCATGGGAGTCTATTATATTAATACTATTTTTATGGTTATCCGTCATGTCGAGTATATTATATATTGAAAGGTAATATGAAAATATACAACAGATGTGGATGGATAAATAATAGACTCACCAAACTGATTTCTTTGGGCAATTGGACCACAGGTTGCTTCGACAGGAGAATCACTGTAAAATGAAGGTTTATTGACTATTTCAAAACACATCATCTTAAAACGTCGTTATCAAATCGAAGCACTCGTTTATAAACTGATTTTGCTTTTACTTAATGATTATTTAGTAAAAACATATAGGTGAAAATGTACACAGTGTGGCGGTAAACAAATCCCCAAATTAATAGCTCTGTAAGTCTTCGACATTGGATGCTGACCACATTAGTTTTAATGGACTGTGGTTTTTGAATAAACTAATGATTCCTTTGTACTTGTTGCATGCTTGATTTCGAATTCTAAATACAGTATATTCGTTCGTGCTTATTTAGTACTTATTGATCCGAATACGTTATTTCTGGGATTCTTAGTTCGTACGATAATTCAGATACTCCTAATCATCATGTGGACTCACCTAGCTGAAGGCGCTCGGTTATGCATCCGCACCAGATCACGAAAGAGAACGCCGTGCTCAGCATCTACTGCAATCGCTAGCCAGATTAGATCAGATAGTCTCCGATATATTCATAGTTTATCAAATATATCTTCGAACCTCTTCGCTTCTGTCTTTTGATTTCACTTAGTGGGTACGATTCATATTAGGTCTCACTGGTTAGAACGTTGTAAAACTCTGAATACCTGTGGGATCTTCAACGGGATTACCATAAAGCAAATATACATCCCACACCAAGTAAATTGCAGTAGATGAAATCCGAAATCTGTCAGACCAAATGAAAATGTGTTGTCTGCACAAACCGATATTTCATTTCATTGTCTGGTGGTTAGAATTGAGAATACAATACACCTAGTTGTGCTTGCTGTTTTTCCCTTAATTTTGATACTGATAAATATGGAACTCTTAGAGTACGTTTGACAACAGAATCTAAAGTAATGCCTCTTCGCGGCGTTGCTGAATGGTAGGGATAACCTTGCCAGGAAACTTAGGCTGTCGGCAGAGATTAGACTAACTACCCGCTCTCTTGTATTCTTGATTAACTCTGAACTCACATAGCAGCACCGGGTTACCTGATGTATGCGCTTATGTACAGGAATTGCAGAAGTCCTCGAGCTTATGCAGTTCATGCATGTAGGCATATACAGAGGCTATATGTGTGGTGTCATACAATGGAGACGTTAACTAAAACATTGTCTGCCCTATTTTTAATAAAGTCAGCGCCCTAATCTATTAGGTCGAAGACATAATAAAAAGATATGGTAGCACATACGGAGAAGAGGTGATTAACAACCTGCCGCGAGAGAATGCTTATGCTTATGTGTGTTTAGCCATGAGCGGAATGATATGCATGTATTGTATAAGAAACAGTCTGTGTAGCAAATACATTTCTAAAGGGATGGTGAGCATTCAACCTCTCATTTGGGTGAATATACCTATATGTATGCTATGGGATATATGGGATAAAACCTGTGTGTTACCAGTGTGAATGCAACGCATATTTGCTGACAGAGTATGTATACCTGTATGTACTTCAAGGAATACCCAGATGAATGTCTGTGTGTTGCATAGTATGCAAGTAGACTCTACCTATCCACTGTACGTAAAAACATCAGAACTCCTTCACTTTCTCTTCTTGATGCGATACCTACACGCACGCAAAGTTTTGAGAGGTCACGGTTCTCCGAATATCACATCCATGCGGCTAGTTCGTGAGCCTTGGAAACATGGAACTCATTCCAGAAGGGTCCGTAGGTTTCCACAAAATATGCTTTACCAGCCAATCTGGCTGGAACATCGTAGAGACCTTTTTGAGTGTTACTAGTCGGCACATCGAATTCCATTATAACTGATTACACCAATGATGTAACAGAATGAGTTCCTGAACAGCTGGATATAGACAGTTTGGGGTCCATTATTTCATTCAAAAGCATGAGACTTTTAAATTCTAATGTTGCAATATGATCTACTGAATTCTCAGTATTAGCAATTAATAGTTACAAATTGCATACACAAGGATGTTTTGAATTGCTTACTACAGATGACAGATCATCATACGTGTCTTGAGAGCTTTACGTAAATGGTACAAAATGGTGAGCAGTAGATTTGAAAGGGCTTAAAGTATAATCCTCTACTGATTTTGAGTAGTATAAAAGTCATTGAATGATTCATGTAAGAAGAGAATACATCTGGCAGTCAAATCTTCACAATCGGTTACTCCTATGGCAACGTCTTTGAAATTTAATGAGGAAACCCATAGAATATGTGCTGATTACACGTTAACACTGAATTCACGTTTGCTAAAGCAAACAAGTGTCATGATTGAAGTTGGAGATATTCTTAATTCACTTTCTAGTCCTAAAGTGTTGTCCAAAGTTGATTTAAAACATTATTATCTCCACATATTTTTAGACACAATCTCCAATACCACAATTGTTCTGGTTACTCTAGACCATAAAGTTGAAATCCAAAGGCTCATATTTAGATTTAGGCCAATTAAGCGTAACCGTGTGACCATTATATTTTGTTTCTAATGTTCTAAGCTAGACTTCCAGAAACCACTATATGGTCGTTCTATCCCAGTTTCAATAGTTCTGAAAGAGCTGAAATCAGAAACATTATACATATGTTCCAGAGTCAATCCACATGCTAGCATTTCCTGAGATAATCCCTTCAAGCCATCTGGTTCGTTTCTTCTTATATTAGAAAAGAGCAACAAACACTCAATAAAGATGAGTGCTTCAACGTGTTTTTGATCAAACCTTTCCAATAATTTTAGCGCTTGACGATAACCTATCTCAGGTTCTAGAATAGCGCAATAATGGATAACGTGTTTCTTTTCTTCGTCAAAATATTGATTGAAGTGATTCAAGTTAGCTCTATACCCAATATTCTCTCTCAAGATAGATTTTTCGAAACTTCTAAAATAATTCCAGTAATTTATCGGTGTACCGTTACATCCAGCGGTCTGTCTTTAGTAAATCAAGATTTTCTAATATTGCGTTCTGTAAGTTGCTTACTGATCACCTAACACCTTGTGGTGTTTGAATGGACTAATGATACCTTTGTACTGGTTGAATGTTTGATTTCGAATTCTAAATACAGTACATTCGTTGTGTCTGTGTCTTCTTAGTTCAATTGCGTTAATCCTGGAATTCCTAGTTCATACTATAATTAGAATATTATAATGGCGTCGTGATGGAACCTGCAATGGAAAAGTTGGATATTCATTCAACTCCTGAAGATATTGAGGATTATTTGGAAAGGTTCGAAATTTGGAGCATGACAAAAGAAGATGATGAGGATGTTAATATTGTGGCACACTTTCTCACATTCATTGGGAGAGAAGCGTACAGCTTATTAAAAACTCTGGCATATCCAGAAAAACCTATCTCACTCCCTTATGAAACTCTTAAAGAGCTATTATTAAGTCATGTAAAATGCACCCGTTTTGAATGCCGTGAAAGGGCAAAGTTTCATAAAATGATCCGTCAAAATGACCAAAAGGCTCGGGAATTCATCCTTGAATTACAGAAACAAGCCGCCAAGTGTAATTTCGGTGATCAACTTCATGTGCAACTGAGAGATCGATTAATTGCAGGAATTAATATGCCGAGTTTGGAAAGAGAGCTGTTAAAAATGCCAAACTGTTCCTTTCAAGATGCTAGGACTGCGCGTATTAACTACGAAGCAGTGAATGAACTTGATATCCAGTCGATGAAGATTTCTGTTACTTTGCTTAGTCGTCATGATGAACTACAATCTCAGGGTCAATCAAATTTGCGTTCATTTAACAGTGATTCCTATTCTCGTGTAAATATGAAAGGTGTTTCAACAAGGAATTACAAAGCAAATCACAAAGGTGAGATGAAGTTTGGTAAATGTTTATCATGTGGAAAGTTTCATGCTCGCAATTCATGTGTATTTCGTAATGCTAAATGTTTTAAATGTGGTAAGGTAGGACACATTCAGTCAGTATGCAAAGCTACTGTCCATTTTGCTTCAAGCTGTACTAAATCTTGTAATTTAAATTTCAATAATTCGGCTGTTTCTAATGATCATTTATCTTTATCAACGATTTCAAAAGACAGTGCAGAGTCATATGACAGTTCAGAGTTATATGAAATCCAGAATTCTTGTGAGGCAACAGTTCCTAATCAACCGATTTATCAGAATTCTCATGCTATTGTACCAGGTATGACTTTTCCTAATGATTCACATATTTCTAATGAAATTACTTGCAATTCTGAGGAAAATATGTTAAATGAACGTAATCATGATCGAAAACCTGATGTGGTTTGGATAGATGCTGGTTTTTCTAACGATCCTACGCTCTGCAATGACAGTCCTAATGAATTTCATGAGAATATTTCAGAAGAATCAAATCCTGATGTCGTATCATATATTACCTATCCTCATAATGCATTCGATCCTTGTGAAAAACCTGCTCAATGCGAAGCACGAGTACTAAGTGACCTCAAGTTTGATTACATTTCGGATGATTTCATATCAACTGCTGTTTACCCTTATCACAAAAACAGTTCTAATGTTTACTCTAAACATTGTGAGAAATATGTTTTAAATGAAGCCACATTATTCATAACCTGGGGATATAAAGATCCAACATTATTTCGTGGGGGAGGATAGTGTTGAAAAACCTATGGTTCGAATTCTAGATATTAATGATTTCATTACAAAACCGACATGCTGGTTGTATACAATTCCAGATACTACAGAGTTTTTATCTTACACAATGTCGGACAGACTCAGAATGAACTTAACAAGAAGACGTACAACCGATTACAAACACTTATACTTCTATTTAAGCTGTGGCGGATGTGGTGTTTGAATGGACTAATGATACCTTTGTACTGGTTGAATGTTTGATTTCGAATTCTAAATACAGTACATTCGTTGTGTCTGTGTCTTCTTAGATCAATTGCGTTAATCCTGGAATTCCTAGTTCATACTATAATTAGAATATTATAATGGCGTCGTGATGGAACCTGCAATGGAAAAGTTGGATATTCATTCAACTCCTGAAGATATTGAGGATTATTTGGAAAGGTTCGAAATTTGGAGCATGACAAAAGAAGATGATGAGGATGTTAATATTGTGGCACACTTTCTCACATTCATTGGGAGAGAAGCGTACAGCTTATTAAAAACTCTGGCATATCCAGAAAAACCTATCTCACTCCCTTATGAAACTCTTAAAGAGCTATTATTAAGTCATGTAAAATGCACCCGTTTTGAATGCCGTGAAAGGGCAAAGTTTCATAAAATGATCCGTCAAAATGACCAAAAGGCTCGGGAATTCATCCTTGAATTACAGAAACAAGCCGCCAAGTGTAATTTCGGTGATCAACTTCATGTGCAACTGAGAGATCGATTAATTGCAGGAATTAATATGCCGAGTTTGGAAAGAGAGCTGTTAAAAATGCCAAACTGTTCCTTTCAAGATGCTAGGACTGCGCGTATTAACTACGAAGCAGTGAATGAACTTGATATCCAGTCGATGAAGATTTCTGTTACTTTGCTTAGTCGTCATGATGAACTACAATGTCAGGGTCAATCAAATTTGCGTTCATTTAACAGTGATTCCTATTCTCGTGTAAATATGAAAGGTGTTTCAACAAGGAATTACAAAGCAAATCACAAAGGTGAGATGAAGTTTGGTAAATGTTTATCATGTGGAAAGTTTCATGCTCGCAATTCATGTGTATTTCGTAATGCTAAATGTTTTAAATGTGGTAAGGTAGGACACATTCAGTCAGTATGCAAAGCTACTGTCCATTTTGCTTCAAGCTGTACTAAATCTTGTAATTTAAATTTCAATAATTCGGCTGTTTCTAATGATCATTTATCTTTATCAACGATTTCAAAAGACAGTGCAGAGTCATATGACAGTTCAGAGTTATATGAAATCCAGAATTCTTGTGAGGCAACAGTTCCTAATCAACCGATTTATCAGAATTCTCATGCTATTGTACCAGGTATGACTTTTCCTAATGATTCACATATTTCTAATGAAATTACTTGCAATTCTGAGGAAAATATGTTAAATGAACGTAATCATGATCGAAAACCTGATGTGGTTTGGATAGATGCTGGTTTTTCTAACGATCCTACGCTCTGCAATGACAGTCCTAATGAATTTCATGAGAATATTTCAGAAGAATCAAATCCTGATGTCGTATCATATATTACCTATCCTCATAATGCATTCGATCCTTGTGAAAAACCTGCTCAATGCGAAGCACGAGTACTAAGTGACCTCAAGTTTGATTACATTTCGGATGATTTCATATCAACTGCTGTTTACCCTTATCACAAAAACAGTTCTAATGTTTACTCTAAACATTGTGAGAAATATGTTTTAAATGAAGCCACATTATTCATAACCTGGGGATATAAAGATCCAACATTATTTCGTGGGGGAGGATAGTGTTGAAAAACCTATGGTTCGAATTCTAGATATTAATGATTTCATTACAAAACCGACATGCTGGTTGTATACAATTCCAGATACTACAGAGTTTTTATCTTACACAATGTCGGACAGACTCAGAATGAACTTAACAAGAAGACGTACAACCGATTACAAACACTTATACTTCTATTTAAGCTGTGGCGGATGTGGTGTTTGAATGGACTAATGATACCTTTGTACTGGTTGAATGTTTGATTTCGAATTCTAAATACAGTACATTCGTTGTGTCTGTGTCTTCTTAGATCAATTGCGTTAATCCTGGAATTCCTAGTTCATACTATAATTAGAATATTATACACCTTCACCTTCTTGACGACGTATTGTTATATCCCGATGAAAATAATGAATTGTAACTGTTGAGATCTATTTCCGAACTGATATTATACATCTATTTTTATCGTGCAACTGTTAAATAACTAAACTATTCATATCCGTTTACTTCTATTATCAGACTTATTTTGACCTATGGACTATCATTATACGATTTACCATTCTTGAGTTATGGGGAGTCTATCTCCTACATTCACAGCCACTTTTGGTTAGATGTTGTACAAATGTTATTTCCTATTTGATGGCACGATGTGGTCTGTTTGGTTGAAATATAAACCCAGTATGTTTGGGATATATGATTCATATTGCAGAGGCTAAGATTGACGTCCTGGGCTTAACAAGCAGGGCTAGGCAGGAAGAAGGACCGATAAAAACTCTAGACTGCCTGTATGGGTATTATGTGTCATTGGTTCCGTTGATAGTCCATTGCTGGTGGGTACGAACCCACAAGTTATAGTACGTATCTTTTCTAGTTCAATTTCTTAGTCTAACTGGGTTACACGTAACCTGACCAACTCTAGTTCTATCAGATTATAAATTTTTGGTTCATCCCTTTCGAGTAAGTCATCATCATCATCTCCTAGATGTTGAGATGACAACCCCGAAATCTCAGTGGAACTACGATACTTACTGGAAGTCATTTTAATAGGTATATTGAATCTATTATTCGAAACCTTGCAGGAAGTAATTTCCTATAAATGTAATTCTAAACTATGCCCTTGACTGTACAGCACATAGTCATAGCCAAGCCAATGTCAGTGCAAGTAAGAAATTTGACTTAAATGATTTTACCCGTTTCTAAAACTTAAATTAACATTTTACTTTAAAAAATAAGCAAATAATACAATCTATTAAACACGAAAAAGAGAGGCAGAAATGACATTCCGAAAAGTTACTAATAATGAAAAAATGAGTCAAAAGGAGAATATTAATTCATGGTAGACATGAAATTGTGACTGGTGAATACTCAAGGCCAAAGAAAGCTAATATGGTGGTGGGCGTTTCATTTCGTCATTAGTGGCTGTTTTAGATCACATACATCAGTTACACGTCGTGACCATAGCTCCATAGCAGGGCCATGCTATTTTCACTGACTTTGCCGCGTTCACCGTTGTTGACCTTCTCTAAGTGTTATACGTCAAATGCAAATCTTTTCAGTAATTATGAACACGGCTTCGAAGATGGTATTGTTGGGTCCTAATACCACTACAACACTGTATATGACCCACGGTTTGTTGTATGTAACGTGGATTTGAGAGGATCTCACAAGCCACGGACTCTGGGATCACACTAAAAGTCTCACTGAAGCTATCACTAGAATGCAAATCGATCATAGAAAGAGGAGCAGGTCATCACAACGACCAAGACCCACGTCTCAAAACAGGTCACAAATGTCTAGACAATCTGGGCGGTTCTGATAATCTCGTTGGAAGTTTGGTGCCAACTCAACCAAGTGCATATAACCATGCGCGAGGCGTAAACAGAATCCCAAGAATATGGAAAATAAATAGCCCCTCCTCAGGTCGCTATGACTGAAAAAGGGTGTCTAAGCAGGCGCTTGTTTTATGTTAGAAACAGGGAGTCCAACTTGAACTTCTTTGTAGATGCTGACGCTGCTCTCAGTAGCATCCCTCAAAACAAAACTGAGCTGGGTCGAGAAATATCCCCAGTAACACTTCAAGCCTCAAACGAAACTAACCTCGCGAAGGCTCAGGCATCCACGTTGATGTATCCGAATTCTCCTTCCCCACCTGCTTTGATGTTAAATGCTTCAGATAAAGCAGTAGGCTGTACTCTTAACCAACTGATCAAAAATGCCTAGAAACTAACTGCTTTATTTTCAAAAGGACTCGTTCCAGCACCTTCGGGAGAGAACTAGCAATCTACCTAAACATTAAACATTTCCGACACATGTTAGAAGGCAGGGACTTCATAATTTTTACGGATCAGAAACCACTGACCAAAAAAATCACAAGTGATATCCAACATGTCAAAGTTCAGGAAAATCAAATGGCAGATGCATTATCTCGGCTAGAAATGAATGTGATACAACACTCTAGAATAAATTTCGAAACAAACAAGACGAGGATCAAGAATTACGAAACGTACTTACAACAAACAACTCTAGTCTCAAACGAAATCAGTCACCACTGCCTATTGACGGTATTCTAACTTACTGTGACACGACCAAGGTAATACCACGACCTTTCGCCCCTAAAAATATGAGAAAGTATTTATTAACTTTCATTCTTTGTCTCATCCTAGTGCAAAGCTTCGACTGAGCTAATCAATGCCAGATATATGGTTGTCTACCAGCAAGGTGAAGACGCAGAACGGATACCTGGAAGCACTTAACTACTCCAGTATGATAGTGGAAATGTGTATATTCCCGGTTTTGCCTCCGGATTGCCTCATAAATCTGCATGTTGTTTGTTTGAACTCACCTCGGTATCCAAATGTACAAATTAGAACTCTCAGATCGCAATGTACTTCTGAATCGTCTCTAGTCAGCATGTGCCTCTTTAGCGAAAAATAAGTGAATATTAACTAGGGTTACTGAAAGATAGCCACGAATTTTTATGTAAAGGACCACCGACTCTAGCTTTCCGTCTTATCCCACTCTGTTTCAGGATGCCTACGATTACAACCTCAGTGACGCCTGCTATGAATAGTGACACATTAAGCATGCCTAAACGTTTAAACCACGAAGAACAACAAGTGAAAAACATAGTTTTTAATATGTCATCTCCATGCTTCAGTAATTACCAAAGAAAAATCACTATAAATCTAAAAATGTTGATCGGAAATATGAGCAACCCAAACTTCTGACGTTGTAAAATATCGACCACTCTTGACAGCCAGGTTACACCTTTTGAAACGTTCCACGAAGAGCTTCACAGTTGTCTTAGGGTTGTGGTTCGTCAAAAACGTAACCTTAAAGTCTACTCAGGCTTGTAAATACTAGCCTCATTCAATCTAGATGAGATCTCAAAATATCGATTGTTACCTGGATCTCGACCACCTACTGCGCATTAACCAGTACCTAGCACAGTAACGAAACAACAAGAAATGAGTGCGAAGTAATCATACGGTCTATATAACCTCGTGATATATGAGAGATATTGGATATAAGATTTCTACCACTTGAGATCTATGATATCCTGATCTTGATCAAAAGTTTGAACTTCACTTCCGTTATTTTAGTCGTACATTATCGAAATTATGTTTTTACAGTCATCCTCAATGATGCCTTTAGTTGGAGCCAATATTTAACTTCGTCTGTCTTAATTTTGATTGGTCGGTCAAGGCCGTCGGTATAGTAGTTAAGGCTACTTATTTGAATAAAAGGGTATGCATCGCTTTACAGTCGGTCTACTGAATTAGTTGGAGGATGAATGTTCTGAAGACTCTATATTGGTGTGGTGGTAAAGATGGGAATAAACCATGTGATTCGCCTGTTGAACTTCAACACGGTAGTGGTGTTCCTGATCTGTCTATCGTGACTACTGAAGCAGACTACTGTGCTCTTAAGGTACTAATCATTTACGTATATTTTTCCCCTTAACTTAAGTGTGATTTGGTTGATTTGCTGTCGACATTACTTGTTGATGAATTCGATCCTGCAAACAGAAAGTTGTTGGGTGTACTGATTGAAAAATGCGTTGAGAAGGATCCCGAATTCATACTCAAAGTATTGCAGTTTACTTAACCCATAGTTTCTAGATCGCTCTTTATTTTCATAAACTGTTGAATATTCGAAGGACAGCCAATTTGTTAATTTCGATAGCTTGCTTTTATGCTCAGTGCCGCGTTTTCATAAAGAAGTATTTTAATGCATGCATTTGTACACCCTTCGACTGGATAGAAGTTGCAGAGTGCTATGCAGTAGGCTTGTGATATATTTTAACGTATCTCAAAGTCCTTGAGCCGTGATCCGAAACTTAGAGGAATGCCAAAAGCATTAAGAAAGTGTATGGTCTCAAAGTTTTGTGAATTTGATCAGAATCAGTTAGGTAAGATCATGTTGATTTAGCGACTCTGTAGCTCAATGCAAGCGAAGGTTGAGTAGTACCTGTTCTTATCGGTGCAAGGTAATTCACCCTACAGTTTTTAAGTCCATTAGGCCAGTGGACGAGGTGCAGGTGATGCCGTAACAGACACTTTACAATCAAGGCTAGTGGATCCTTCTCCGATTCATTTTACATTGAAAGAACTCGTTCGTAAGTTGCACATATCGAAGCCTGCATTAAACGTCATGTGTGTTCTTGGAAAATTGTATCCCAATGATGTCACTGCCTTTTCAAAGACGGGGTTAGAAGGGGATTGGGATGCTAGTAAAGCTGGTGTATGCATGAAACTCCCCGTTCACCCAAAATGGAAAGTAGAGTTAGCTTCTGGCAAAAGTCGTGATGCTTGGACAAAGATTATAAGTGAGTGTTATTTCATGTAATTGAATTTATATCCCGTTTTTTATCATTTACTCCTGAAGCTAACATCAGTTTTTGATTACAACTGAGATGTTGAGACCGATAATAAAGTTGCAACTCTCAGTTGGCAGTTGTTTGTATTTGGTCCAACCATTTAGCACCACAGCTTTCTTTCGTACTATCGATTGTTTTGGAGATTATGTGTTGTCTACGGTGTGTTTTGCCACTA